CCCCACCATCAACACTCTGTATCCTTTTTCCCTGCTTTATATTTTTTTGGTACTTATAAACATATGATTCACTTATTTCTTGTTTTTTCCATTCAGTAGGATGTAAGTTCCAAGGGGGCCAGGAGTTCTGTTTTGTGCATTGTCATATCCCCAGGACATGTAACAGTATTTAGTTTAATAAATATTTGTTGAACGAGGGAATTAATTGCATGGCCAGGCAACTGTTCTGGCTGGTGACATATAGAAGGCCCTGAGAAGAGCATTCCTTCCCAAAGAAAAACTCGGGCTTTGCTTGGAATTGTAAATGAATTCTGAACTCTCTGTCACAGTGTATTAGGAAGGAACAGAAAATTGCTTTTACTCTTGACATCCCCCTCTCTACTGAGACCAAATGGTTGATCTATAGCCATGTATTTCCATCTGTAGAGAATAGGCAAAAATCCTAGTATTGTACTGTGAGGGCAATGATGACCAACACAAATTGCCAACCAGTACACTGATAGGTCCTGGAGACCAACCATTGCTTCAGCTAGATTGATTCTGGGGCCCAGATTAGGAGGCCTTCAAGAGGTTGCAGAGAAAAAAATAGTTCAGAGCAGCAAGTCCTCCATCTTTTCCTTACTGAGTGATTTATATGTACAGATTAAATTGTGGCTTGGATCCAGCAGTGCCTTTTCACTCGTGTCCTTTGTCATTCACTCTTGTCTGGCCTTTCCCTGGAGGTGGATTGAGGGAGGAAACTGTATATCTTGTGCCACCACCCACTCGCTAGTGAAGACTAGACATGTAGAGCCTTGAGTTCTGCTGGTTGTATCTTAACAGGCTAGGGACTTGTGCAGGGATGGGGCACAAGGCTCACTGCGAAAGACTGCAAGAAGTCTTCATAATTACAGGATTCTCTGTAATGGTTAGTCAGCCAGTTGGGTCTTTCCCTAAACCTCCACTGCCCTGTTTCAGCAAGCCCAACTATGCATAAAATCTGAATCTACATGTTTGTGTGTGTACCCCATTGATGGGAGTCCCTGTTGGCAGGATACTCCATATAATATGAAATTGTTGCATTTGAGAGATTCAGTGACACAGAACTGGAGATGGAGAGGTGTTGTGAGAGACCCTAGAGATGGAGCTGGCCACTGTGTGAGGACTGGAGAAGTGGGGCCCCCTCCAACCCAAGCGGGAGAGACAACGTGTCTTGTTAGAGAGCAGTGAAACAGCAGTTTAATTTCCTCTGTTGTATCTTGGGGTGGATGATCCATTGAGGCTTGGCAGAGAAATACCGGGATATTATAGTTTATTGGTTGCTTCCTGTCTTCAGTAGAGTAGCTCAGGCAAGACACAAGTTTTGTTCCAAGCTGGCCTATCTGATGGATGTACAGTGGCCAGCAAGATGGATGTATAGTGCTGTCAGGAGGGGCCGAGTCTGCCCATGGCCAGGGATTCAAGACCTCTGGGAACCACGTAGGCACCGGCTGGACTTCAAATTCTGAACTCTCTGCCCAAGGCTAAGGCTGGTGTGAGCCAAGGCAGGGAGGGAAGGACACAACAGAGATGAGACTGGGAGAGTTTTTATCACTACATTTTCTTACTCCATGTTATAAGTCAATCTCACTTTTACTCTCAAATCTATAACACCAGCCCTAATCTCTCCCTTGAACTTCGGAGTCGTAGAGCCAAATGTTTGCCACATATGTAGATGCCTCATAAGCATCATCACGGCTCCTTTTCCTGTTTTCCCAATTCAGACTGAAGAAATCTGTAGTCATGTCGGAAACCTAATAGGGATTCTAATCTCTTTCAGTCAGTTCAAAGTCTTTTCAATAAAAGCTTAGATGTTTTTCATATTATCCCCTATTTCCTAATCCTTTCTGCCCTAGTTTATTCTTTTACCATCTCTCACATGAAACTACTATCAATTTAGGTTCCTAACTAGTGGTTTCTTTGGCTTTAGTTTTGCCTTCCTGAAACAACCTTCAATATGGCCACCAGAATGATCTTCCTAAAACGCAGGTTGCGCCTAGTAGTCTTCAGCTATGTTTCTTTTTTTTTTATTAAAGATTTATTTATTTATTTATTTGAAAGAGAGAGAATGAGAAAGAGAGAAAGAGCACATGAGAGGGGGGAGGGTCAGAGGGAGAAGCAGACACCCCTCCGAGCAGAGAGCCTGATGCGGGACTCGATCCAGGGACTCCAGGATCATGACCCGAGCCGAAGGCAGTCGCTTAACCAACTGAGCCACCCAGACGCCCCTTCAGCTATGTTTCTTGATTGAAATACTTGTTCCCATGATAGCCAATAGTGCTGTTCCAAGATATATAAAGTCACCTGAAAAAAACATTGGGAGGAGGGCAGAACATGACTCTGTTATCTTTATATTAAAACAAATACATCTTAACTAGGATTATTGTGATCATTTCATAACATGCAAATATCAACTCATTACTTGGCACACCTGAAACTAACGTTATATGTCAACTATGCCTCAATTAAAAAATAAGTAAATGAAAATCCATGAACCCTAAACCAAAACAAAACAAATATGTACTGTAGAATGGGCTACAAAATTTGCACATATTTTATTTTTAAATTTTATTTATTTATTTATTTATTTATTTATTTATTTATTTATTTGACAGAGAGAGACACAGCGAGAGAGGGAACACAAGCAGGGGGAGTGGGAGAGGCAGAGGGAGAAGCAGGCTTCCCGCAGAGCAGGGAGCCCAATGTGGGGCTCGATCCCAGGACCCTGGGACCATGACCTGAGCCGAAGGCAGACGCTTAATGACTGAGCCACCCAGGCGCCCCTTTGCACATATTTTAAAGAAACTTCACTGAAATTTCATGACTGGGGGGTGCTATTTCATGTTATGCCTCCACCCACATCCCTTTTATTCAAATTTACTGCCATTAGAGGTTTTTTTTAGAAAAAAGGTTTGAGAAATATAGGTGTAGGAGAGTGTTCAAGCTCTTTATCATAACTTATCAAAAAGATCCGCAGAACCAGATTCCTCTTTTAACCTCTGAATTTTCCCCTGTTGTCCCTGAAATACTGAATAGCTTCTAGGTGTGTAGGACCGCGTTTTTGAAAGCCTCTTCGCCTTTCCCACGGCAGTGCTCCACATAGAACACCTGTCTTTGCTTCCCTTGATTGCCTCACTCACACTGCCCCCAGAGTCCCCCCGGGCAGCGCATCCTCCAGATTCCTCCTCTGAGTTCCTGCCCTCCCCCTCCTAAGCTGAATGGATCCTGCCCTCTGTGCATACTATTATCACTAGATGTCAGGGCTTGCAGCCTTGTTTTACTGTGTCCATGTTTCCTTCACGGGGACACCTTTCATTTCATTCTCCTAGAAGGGCCATTTTCAAGTGACCTCTTGGACCTTCTCTCAGAAGATAGAGTCATCTGAATGGTGAGATGGGTCAGACCTGACTTCTGTGGGCCAATACATGGACAGGGAGGCGGAATAGCTTCCTTGAAAAGGCAACTTGGGCCATCTCTGAGCTCTTTCTCTCATAACATCTCTTATGTACTCCCTGAAAGAAGGGCCAGCTCTCTCTACTTTTTCCTCCAAAATAGTAAGCACATGTGGCAAGTCATCCCCTTTGTGGGTATGGCCCCACTGTGGTCCAGTTGCTCTTTCAATAATGGGTGGGAGTAAGTTAACTTGGGTAGGGAAATAGGACATCCCACTGCACTTGGCAACGTACCCATTGTCAGACAGCCCCCGATAAAACTGATAGCTACTGTTTGGGGCTGGTGTTATCTATGTACTCCTAATAAGTTAAAACCCAAGGAGAAGGAAATCTGTAACATCCAAAATATCACAATGATTTAAATGACCAGTTAAGTTAGTTCTACCAATTAGTCTATAAACTTCCTAAAGGCAAGACTACCGTATCTTTTTTTATTGTTGTACTTCCCTTGGCACAGAGTACTTGGCAAATAAAAGGTGCTTAGTATTTTATTTGTTAATTTTTTTCTGATTATAGAAGCAATGTAACATGATTCTAGAACAAAAGAATTCTAGGAAATAAAAACTGATCCAGCAAACTAAAGATTTTATATTAACAAAATACAAACTTGTGTTCTTACTCTTTTTTACTATCTGTATATGTGTTGTTTTACAAAAAAGAAATGATTTTATACATAGCTTTGTTTTTAAAAAACAATTGTTTGTACAACATTAAATATTCTATAAGATGATTTTCATAGCTGTATAGTATTACATTGGCAAATGAATAAAATGTAGCCTATTGATAAATAATATTTGTCAGATGTTTGTCAAAGCGTTTTTTTTCAGGTGCTTTGCCACATGGCTTATGTGCATTATTGTATCACTTCTTCCCAACTCTGGGGCAGGGATTTTTATAAATCCATTTATACGTGAAGGAACAGAAGTTAACAAACATAAAATAGCTTGTCCAAGATCACACAAGTATTAAGTGATGAAATTGGGATTCAGTTATACATGATTTAACCCCCGAGCCACTGTAACTTTTAAAAAGGATATTCTGTAATTTATTTAGCATATGTCCATGTTGAGCATTTAGGCTGTTTCTGATTTTCTTATAATGATTAATAATGCTGCTGCCTGTGTTAGACATCCTTAGAGCCAAATCTGTGTATATATTTCTGGTTATTTTCTTCAGATAAATTCTTAAAAGTGAATTTTTTGTCTCCATTGGTTTTTCCCTCTAATTACAAATCTACTATGTGCACAAAATGGAAAATTTGGAAGATATAGAAAAGCACAAAGTAATAAAGCAAAAACCGTTTATAATAGTTCCACTCCCAGATAGTACTGTTTTAACATCCCACTCTTTCTCCAGCCTCTTATGTGTATTGTATAGACATATATATATATAAACTGTGTACCTGTATATATACACACAGTGTTACAGCTATGTTGAAGCATATATTTTATTTTTTCATTATATATTACAGAAAATTTTATGATACCATTGCTACATATATAAATATATACACATATGTTTTCCTTGCAGGTAATCAATTAATTAATTGTAGAAACCATATTTTGGAGTTTAAGGAAAAAATGCTACATTTAAAAAACAAAACTGAAAGAAACCACCAAGAACTGACCAAAGCCTTGAGTAAAATGAAGTATGAAATGACACAGAGAAAAAATATGTCCATAAACTTAGGTTTGTGTTGCTTTTGTTTTTGTGGGTGGTGGTTTGTTTGTTGGTCTTGTGTTTTGTGTTTGGGAATTTAGATTTTGTGCTTTGTGATTTGAGGACACTTCTCCCCAACAAATATAACTAAATTAGTTACTTGTTCTTTTATTGTGAGACATACAAAAATTGGGTAAGAGACAACACTAATATACTTCCTCTCCTCTGGAGCTCAGAAATGGTCTTCCTGTGTTTGCTGTGTGACCCGCACCACCGTCATGACCCATCCGCTAGGTGAGCCAGAACCCTGAGTGTCACTCTGACCCCCCCGCCCCGCCTCCTCTTGCATATTCCCATTTCAGTCAGTAAGCAAACCTGTTGATTCACAATCCTATGTGTCCACAAATCTGTCCACATTTTCCCATCACCATCTCTGCTGCTCTAGTCAGGCCGCCTTCATGCCTCGTCTGAATGACTGCTAACATACTTCTGTTTTTTCTCTTTCCCCAGACTTGTCCCCGCCTGTCTATTTCCACTGTAGCCAAAGTGAAGGCTCACTATCCTGTGTATCATCCTGCCGTGGCTCGCACTTCTCCAGGATAAAAAGTCCTGCCTCTGTTTCCTCTTTTGTAGTCAGGTAGTCCTTACTCTTAATACCTTGCAACCACTAATCAGTTCTCTGTTCTTAGAGTTTTCTCTTTCCCAGAATGTCATTCAAAGGGAATCATACAGTGTGTAATTCTTGGAGACTGACTTCTTTCACTTAACAAAGATTCATCAAAGTTATGTGACCAAATTTTTTGTTGACTTTATATTGCTGAGTAGCCTTTGATTATATGGATGTACAGTGGATACAGTTTGTTTATCCTTTTACCAATTGAAGGACATTTAGGTTGTTTTCATTTTTTTGGCAATTACAAGTACATGTTACTGTAAACATTCATATGCAGGTTTTTTGTATGAAAAGAATTTTCTTTAAAGTGTATATATTTATATATACGTATATATATCCTGAATACATTTCAGATAGATAGGTGATTTGGAAATGTTTTCTCCCAATCTTGGCTAGTCTTTTCATTCTCCTTATGGTGTCCTTCAGAAACCAAACACTTTTAATTGTGAAGTTCAATTTATCAATTTTTCTTTTTATATAATGTTTTTGATATTACCTTTAAGAATTCTTTACCTCTCTCAGGGTCACGAAGATTTTCTTTTATGTGTGTGCTTTGAATTTTATAGTTTAGGTTTTACATTTGGGTCTCTGAAACTTTTGAGTTGGTTTTTGTAACTAGTGTGAAGTACGGGTCAAGATTCAGTCTTTTTCATGTGAATGTCCAAGTATTCCAAGTATTCTTTGTCAAAAACGCTGTCCTTTCCTGCATTGAATTGCCTTTGTACCTTTTCCAAAAATCAGTTGATGATATTTATGTGGATCTATTTCTGGATTCTCTATTCTGTTCCATCGGTCTGTGTATCTTTTTTAAATGTAATACCACACTGTCTTGATTACCATATTATATATTATGAATTATATAGGGTGTGAGTCTCTAATTTTGCTCTTCTTTTTCAAAATTGTAGAGGTATATTCAAATGAGTGGTACAAGTAGAATCATTAAATGTTGAGCTACAAAACGAAGTTATAGAGATACCAACCTTAATGTGATATTAATCAAAATAGCAGATCAGATCAATTATAGCATGTTTCAGTTATACTTCATTTAGAACTGACAGTTCTGTTAGTCTCTGGTTATGTAGCTCATAGTGCTAGGCTTAAATATTATTTTTAAAATAAATATGAATCAATAATATTGGAACTATATTTTGTAGCCATATGTTTTAATAGTTCACATTTAATTGTATTTCTCTTATATATTGAATACTAAATCTGTTAATCTCATTATGAAAAATTGTACCAAAGAGAGAAAAATCCCTGTCGTCATGCACTTAGCAACTCTCTTTTTTCCCTCTTTCAGTTGAGAAGAAAATGAATACATTGGGTAAGAATGAAACAACATCTAATACATTTGAAATCCTAAAGTTCTTTTTTCCTCATCTAAGGAAAGTAGACAGAATTTATCCTGATGTAATCATTGGCAAAGAGAAAACAGGTGGTAAGCAAATTTAGAATTAGAAAATCAAATATAGATATTTTGATCTTTGAGGACATGCTTTTAAGTTTTGTTGTTGTTTGTTTGTTTGTTTTTTTAAGTAGGCTCCATGCCCAATGTGGGGCTTGAACTGAGAATCCTGAGATCAAGAGTTGTGTGCTCTACCGACTGAGCCAGCCAGGGGCCTCTTGGTTTTGTGGATGCTTCTCTAACTATTATTATATTGCTTTTAAGTTTTAATATGTAATCCATTAATATAATACTCCAGTACATAGACCACCAGCTTATGTGGCATTAATTTGGACTGGCAGAAATTATATGACTTGGCAGAAAAAAAATAGTTCAATAGATATTTAGAGACTTGAATTCAAGTTCAACTTGAATACAGATGTTTTAAAAATAGGTTATTATAAGTCACATATACATCTGACTTATATTAAGCATCTGCTAAGTACCTGGCAACGCTTGTCTCCCTTGGTTTTGATCAATTCATTCTTACCTGGTTATCTTCCTATTTCCCCATCTTTCTGGGGACCAAGGTCAGCGAAAGCTTTACAGAAGAGGTGATGTTTGAGCTAATCCTTAAATAATGAATTTAACTTCAGCAGGTATTAAAGAAGAGAGAAAGCATTTAAGTTAGAAGCAGGGATTTTAGGGTGAGTCTCCGAACGCTTGCCATTCTCATAGACCTTGTTTATTCTAATGAGTCACCCCAAGCCAGTGGCAGCCAACTACAGCCCTCAGGCCAAAGCTGCTACTTTACAATAAGATTTTGTTGGAGCCTAGTCAGTGCTCATTGTTACTTGTCTGAGGCTGTTCTCATGCTACAGCGACAGAATTGAGTAGTTTCAACAGAGACTGTATGGCCCGAGAGACAAAAATGTTTATTTACTACCTGGTCCTTTACAGAAAAAGCTTACTGATCTCTGATCTACACGGTTCCTTGGGAATAAGTAGTGTTCCGAAGCACATGCCTCTGCCGAGCTTGCTGAGTTGGGGTGGGGGTGCCAGTGGCATTGCTTAACATCTGAGTTCTCACTGTGTTCCATATACTGAGTTACTGTGCTTTCCTTCCTTCCTTCTTTCTTTTTTCTTTTTTTTTTTTTATGTTTTCTCTCATTGTCTCATCTGACCCTCACAACCCAGTACAGTAGGACCTATAATTATCTCTATTTTACACCTAAGAAAATTGAGGTTTAGAGATATTAAGCTACTTCTTGAGATCGCACTTGAGTCTTAAACTGCATCAGATTCCCTCTTAGGAGTATTTTGAATGTGGCACGTGTATGTACATAGACGTGCATAATGTGTGTGAATACACGAGAAAGTGTGTGCTCCCCCAAAGCTAAAGGTAACAGGAGGAGGAGATGAAAGACATAGGAAAAAAAACCCAGTATGTAGAAACTATAAAATAGTAGATACCAAGAATCAGCATAGCTTTAACTAAACATCAGCAAAGATAAGCAGAAGCCCATGCCAGAGAGTGAAAGGAAGGAGGGAGAGATGTTTGTAATTGGGAAGAACAACAGAACTCCTTTTGGGGTTTTGAGGTGTTGAGGTAACCCAGTTAGCAGAACTGTGTTAAATCTTTTTTTTTCTTTTTTAAAGATTTTATTTATTTATTTGACAGAGAGAGACACAGCAAGAGAGGGAACACAAGCAGGGAGAGCGGAAGAGGGAGAAGCAGGTTTCCCGCGGAGCAGGGAGTCTGATGCGTGGCTCCATCCCAGGACCCTGGGATCATGACCTGAGCCAAGGCAAATGCATAACTGACAGAGCCACCCAGACACCCTATAGAACTGTGTTAAATCTTGAATAATTTTCTAATTCCCCAACTATTTCCTGATTCCCACCCATGCTGTATATATTGATCCTCCTTTTGAGCCCTTTGGTGGATTTTCATTGGTCCTTGGGAGGACCAGTTTGCCTATAAACCTTCATTACCAGAAGTAATTGAAAAGATTTTTTTTTCCTGGTAACTAAAAGATCATAGCACATAAGACATTTGTGAAACCACTGAAGCCTATAGCAAGGCCTACTGGGGAATCTGTCATCAGTCTTATTTGTTCTATATTCTGAGTATATTTCAAATAATTTCTGCTCTCTACCCTCTATAACTATTCTTTCAGCTTTCATTTCTTGCCCAGTGTATTGAAATAGACTTGTAAATTGACTGAAGTCAATCCATTCTTCATACCCTCCTCAGAGCTGTGTACTAAAATGAATAACATCATGCTCAACTCTTGCTTAAAATCCTTTAGTGGATCCTCAGTACATATAGGATGAAGCTAGCTCTTTGACATGGTGTATGCACAATAGACTGTATTTTTCAAATCAATTTTTGCCACTTCCCCTCCTTTCCAGCAACCCCAAAACACTTACAGTCCCTGTGAATAAGCCAAGTGATTAGCACATGCAGATCACTGCCTGCAACAAACCCACCACCTCCTGTCGACCGCAACTAACTTCCCCACTATGACTTTTCAGCTTAACTGACAATTTCTTTGTGCAGTCCTCCATGTCCTCAAGTAACCAGCTTCTACTAGGGGAATAGTGGTCGATAAGACAAGACCCTCATCTTCCTACAGACACGTGAGAAGGCAATTACAGTATAGAGTAGCTAGTGCTGTGACAAGGGAAATACAAGGTGGAGCAAGTAATCCATACTTGGGGAATTAGGGAAGACTTTCTGGACAAAGTGACATTCACCTGAGTCATGAAGGGTGAACAGAATTAGAATAGACTAAATAGGGAAAAAGCAGGTGATGGATAGTGGAAAAGTAGAGGATGTTCATCCAGGTAGAGAAAAAGAAATAGGAAGGGTCTAACAGCAAGAGGGCCTGGACAAAAAGTGGGGCGTGTGTGCACAATTGGGGCTGGAAGTTATTGTCAGTATGACATGGGGTAGAGCCCAAATAATAAAGAGACTTGGCTATTCACTTATTCACCCCAAGTTTGTTGCCATTATTATGTATTCCAATAACAAATAGAATGATAAGTACTATATGAGATGAAGTAAGAATATGTAGCTGGTACGCCCAACCTAGTTTAGAAAGAAAGTATAGAATCAGCACAAGGAACCTGAAGAAGAGTGTTCTAGGCAAAGAAAGGATGGCATGAGCAAAAGCCTGGAGATGAGAGTGTCCTATTTGGTCATTCTGAGAAGCTGAGCGATGTTAAGTGAGACTGGTTTTAAAGAGAGGATAGTTGGAACGGAAGAGGAAGGTCAGGACCAGGTCATTAAAGGCCTTGTAAATGTTTGTAAACGTGTTCGTTACCCTAAGGCATTGGGAGTCATTTCGGGAATTGCATTTTAGAGTGGATCCCAAAGTTTGAATAGTAAAAAAAATTTAAAAATTCACTCATATTAGAATATAATTTTAAAATAAAAAGTTCAACATGGTAACAACAACAAGAAAAACCACCCAAAAACAAAAACAACAAAACCCAAAGTTTGAAACTTGATTCCTGCCTTATACCATCCATAAAAATCAATTCCAGATGGACTGTAGATCTAACTATAAAAGGCAAACAATAAACCATCGAGAAGATATTCAGGAGAATGTCTTTATGACCTGAAGATAAACAAAGATTTCTCAACAGGAATCAAAAAAGCACTAACTTTATGTAAAGGAAGAGATGGATAAATTGTAGTATATTAAAATTAAGAATTTCTGTTCATCAGGAGGTAAAACATTGAAAAGGGAACCCAGAGTGGGAGATGATACTTGTAATACACATAACTGACAAAGCATTCATATTCAGAATCTATAGAGAGCATTAATAAATAAGAAAAGTCCAGAAAACTCAGAGAAATGGGTAAGAACTTAAACAGGAATTTCACAGAAGAATGTCCAAAGACCAATAAACGTATGAAAGTATGTTCGAACTCAATAGTAATCAGAGAAATACTAATTCTTACTGTTGTCACCAAAGTTCAGTAATTTTTTGTTACATAAATGCTTCTCAGTTTGTTGTATATCCAGGGCCCTGATTGTTTCGACAGTTTTTTTCTAGTTTTATTATTGCTTTTTTAGGGAGAGGATTTTCTGAGTTCCTTACTTAGCCATTCTAGAAGTCCCATTTTAAAGGTGGGGACAGTGAGGCTGGAGAGGCTGTGTATCTTGCCCAAGTTCATATGTCCAGGCACTAGTGTTGAGTTTGGGCAGACTTTACTGATATAATTTTAGTATCTATTTGGATGACATGAGATCTGTTCTCCCAGTGTTCCAGTCAATAGTGGTCAATACAAGTAACTTAGGGGTATGGATTCATTCCATTAAATCACTTGAAAATTACTTCATACATTTTTTTTCACAGATGAAAATATTTCATAGTATTTTTCCTGTTTTGGATTCCAGCATTTCCTTAGGAAGAGAAGTAGAGAATTCGCCAATGTGTGACATTTTGTACCCAAGTTAGGTAAAAGCTAAAATAAATGGAGAGTGGTTAGTTTTATCTTTTACTACACTGAAACCCTCCAACATGAGAACATCTTGGAGTCTACTTAATGCATTTACTAACAATCCACTGCAAATTGGAATTTGCTCAGGCAGAAAATGAACTTTATGATAAAAATTAAGAGTAGTTTGGATAATTTTTGTAATATAGTTTCGGACATTCTTTATGACCATATGACTAACCCAAACACAGTAATAAGCATAGATATTAATGATAAATTATGTTTTTCTCTGTGGTTTGAAATGATGATTCCATGCTCCTTTGCCTGCAGTCTCTTTCGCACTGGGCATTTCCACTGTTAACAGAGGAAATCAAAGTTACCTGAAGCAAACACTGAATTCTCTCGTCTCCAGGATGACTCCTTCAGAAGAGAAGGACTCTGTGGTGATTGTCTCTGTCTCAGATGTACGTATGAAAAATAAGTGGCTCTCCTCAGGCCCAACCTGTGGTCTCCAAGTACCCTTCCTCCATGGTAATCACTGTATCGTTTTGGATTTTTCTTCTTAAATTTAAAAAAGCAATTCATAGATGCCTTTTTGGTTGGCAGACAATGTATTTAATACTTGTTTGATACCACTGAGAAGGAACTAAATATGTCAATCTAAAAAGAAAATATAGTGGTTCCATGTGGAGAAATAAGATTGCATTGTTAAATATGTTACTAGGAGCCCTGCATACTATGTAGTACAGAAATTATATTTACAAACAGAACATTAAAATTGAAGCTATAGTAATAAAACCTGCCGGCCCAATAAAAGGTAGGTATATGAATCAAGAGTACTTTGTGTTAACTTAAGTAACAATAACCACCATGAATATTGAGGGATTCCTTCCTATATCTGAAGGATTGTAGACAATTTTTATATACATTATCTGTGGTCTGCATTACATCCTTGTAAAGTAGGTGTAGCTATCCTGATTTTACAGGTGAAGAAACTGGAGCTTATAGAAAGTAAGTAACTTGCCCAGTAATTAATACAGCAGATTCAAATCTATGTCCAATGGCCCCCAAATTTTCTATCTTGTCTTCTAATGCCATGTAAAATGTACATAAAGCACTGTATAAATATTGACACCATAAAACCTTTTGGAGGGGGAATTTGGCGACTTGTGTTAGATTTAAAATGTGTATATCCTATGTATCAGAAATCTCAATTCTGGGAAGTTATCCTAAGGAGATAATCAAGCAGGAATTCCAAATAATAAAAATATGACAGTATGTACAGTAGTTGAGAACACATACTCTGGATCTAGATTGCCAAGGTTCAAATGCTGGCTTCTCCATTCCCTGGCTTGTGAACTTGACAAGTTCCTTCAGTTTTCTATGCTTCACTTTCTTTCTCTGCAAAATAGTGATGATAATATTACCTATGTCATAGGATTGTTTTGTCAATTACATTAGCTATTATATTTAAAGTATTTAGAATGATGCATGGCATATAGTAAACGTTCAATAAGTAACTATTTCAAGGATTTTCAGTGCTTTATAAAAGCATAACATTGGAAAACCACCAAAAATGTCTATCAATAAGAGGCTGGTTAAATCCTTGTGTCTACATTGCAATAATCCACAATGCAATTGTAACCATGGAAAAGAGAATGAATATCTGTATTAACTGACATAAATGACATCCATATCATATTGCTGAGTGGGAAAAAAGTTTTAAAGCATCACATTTAACATCATATTATCTACGTAAAATGTGGTAGATGGAAGGAAGGAGGTAAAAAAGATATAGACAAAATGTATTTAAAAAAAAGAGAAAATGAACAAACCTTGGAATAATGGTCTCCAAAATATAAATAATGTTATCTCCAGATAGTAAGAGTTGGAGGGATCTTTGTTGTCCTTTCTATATTATTTTTTTTTAAAGATTTTATTTATTTGTTTGACACAGAGAGAGACACAACGAGAGCAGGAACACAAGCAGGGGGAGTGGAAGAGGGAGAAGCAGGCTTCCCGCCAAGCAGGGAGCCCGATGCAGGGCTCAATCCCAGGACCCTGGGATCATGACCTGAGCCAAAGGCAGATGCTTAATGACTGAGCCACCCAGGCATCCCTGTACTTTCTATGCTCTTGTCTTTATTTGAATTTTCTACAATAAATATGTCTTTGAATGCAGAAAAAACTCAAAAAACAAAACAAGCAATAGAAAAACTAAGAGGAAAACATAAAAGATTAAACAGTCATTCTCTCCAAGTTTAATTTCTTAATATTGAAAGCATATACATAATCTCCGAAATGTTTTGCCACATTTCTGTACGTTACATATTATAATCTTTATTTCTTTGCTGCTGACACAGTGCACATGTGCCTAAAATGTTTAGAACGGTAATAAAATATTAGGGACAAATTTTAAAATGGAATGTCGATTGCTTAAGAAGTGTAACTTTAGTACTATATTTAAGATATAAAATATTTCTGTGTAACAAATAGCTGGTGATTCAATTTATGGCTATCTTAAGAACCTTAAGTACTGTCATAGGGTTATCTGCATCATGATGGATATTTTAAAATAAGCAGTCTGTATACATTTCAGAGTACTCAGATTTGACAATAGAACTGTCATTATTCAGAATTTTTCAGGATTTTATATTAGGAATGTTTGGGGCCCTGAGGCAATATTGTGTAAATACTATCACTTTTGTGAAAGTAAATACATACATACATACATACATACATTTGGGAATGTACCACCGAAAGCTACTTACGGATGAATCTGTCATCAGTAATCTAGCACAGAATTTGATAAAGAGTAGGCACACAAGGTTTGTTGATGGAAGACAATTTGGGAATCAAGCTGAGTAATACCATCTTGAAAGCCGTGGTCTAATTTTGAAGTACGTTTATTATCCTATAATACTCATAAAATGAAGACATTTTCAAAAAGTGCAGTTCTTAGAAATAAACCATCCCATTTTTAGGACAAAACTGTTTTAGATACATAGGTTTTTGCATACTAATTTTTAAGTGTAAATAATGTGTAGTGATATTTTGTACTGTGACGAAGGAAGAATGAAATCTTTTCAGTGTTCACATCAGGTCTTTTAGACACATGGGTATTTTAAATTCTTTTATAAAAACAAAAAATTCTTAGGAAGCAATGACATTCCATACCTAAACTAGAATTATATGTAGCAACCGTATCGTAGCAAAACTATGAGGCATGCTTAATTTCAGTAAAATATTTTTCTCATTTTTAGAGAAATGAAGATTATTTAAAATCTGTTGTTGGCATGATTACAAAAAGGTAAGTACTGTCTGATAAGTTTGAAAATAACTGTTCTTTCATTTTTCTATTTTATTTTTTCTGCCCGATTATATTATTGTATTAGTGATCATATTCATTCTGATGAGTGAGCTGTATAGAAAGAACTACTTAGGACTACAGGTAGTTCTGAGCTGTGACAAAGTATAGCTTATAACTTTCCCCAATTTTGTAAGTTGTCTGCCTAATAAAATCCACCTTTTCCATGTTACTATTGTTGTATCTATTCTCCATGAAATCCACTTCCTCTGAGAGAAGCCTACTAGATTATTTAATAATCTAGTTCTTGTGTTCCTTACTGTATGGAGTCACATTGTCCACGTCTGCTTACAATCTCCTGTTGGATGTAGCCTGGGAGATGCGAGCACATAATGATGAGCCAACATGATGTTATTTCTCAAGCAAGATGCTGTGGAATGGACCCAGCCTTTCAGATCTTTATGTTCAAGTGGGTGATACAACTGGTAAAAAACAAATCACAACCCGGAAGCTGGTGTTTCATATTGGTATGGGGAGGGCAGTATGAGAACACATAGAGGGTGAAGTCTTTCACTCTACCTGCAAGATATAAAGAAAGTAATAATTGAGCTGAGTCTAAAGGTATAAGTAGACACTCTTAAAGAAGATTAAAGGAGAAAGGGATGCCTGGCAAATAGAATTGCTTAAGAAGGCAGAAAGGCCAGAAAGGCGCACACTAGATTTTTGGAAATATGAGTGTATCCTGGAGTATGGACGTTTGAGGTTAAGGAAGCAGTATCGGGGAGTTACGGCAGGCTGTGATAAGATCCTGAAGAGCTTTGGGTAACATGCTGAGGATTAAGCACTTTATGCTACAGACCAGGCTCGCAAACATGGCCTTCAAGCTGAATCTGGCCAATAGACGTTTGGCTTCGCCAGCAAAGTGTTTGGTTTTGTTCCCTTACCAAGTAGCTCAAGGGGACAAGGCAAAAGTTATTTTCGTCAAAAAAAATTCTAGCTAATAACTGTAGAATGAATAGAATTAGAAAATCACCATTTTGAAACAGCTGGCCCAGGCATGTCCTTCAGTGACATGTGGATGGGGCACTTGATGTGGAAGGTGTACCAGCCAGCACCCAACCAGGAAAACGCTTGGTAATTCAGATAGAGGGAATTCAGTACAAAGAACTGGTCAAAAAGTGTTGACAGGGGCTGAGAGAACAAAAGAGAGGAGATGGGAGAAGCATAAAGGGAGGTGGGGTTTGATGAGCTGACGTTGGCCGCACCTGCTGCAGTGCTGTTGGGAACCCCCCCGCCCCCGCCGGGTAGCAGTGCCATCTCTGTCAGGGCTGGAGCCTCCGCTGACCCCCCACCTCCTGCTGCTCCATCCTGCTTCTGCTGCTGCAGACGTCACCCCAGCCCCAAAGGAGGAAGCATAGCCTCCACTTTACTGCCTTCTAATCTCTTGATGCTGCCTCCCATAGGCAGAACCTACCCGGAAGCCGGCCAGCAAGGGGGTCTGGGGTTGTGGCATGCAGACCCCCTGCCCCTACAGTCCCTGGCAGAGCAGAGTGGGAGAGTGGGGGCTGAGGCCAGAGGGGCAATCTGCAGGAAGGGCTCAGATGCCCCCACCTGAACCTGTTAGCAGTCTCAGCGTCCCTGGAAGTTAGACAGACGTTTTGTGTCTTTTGTTGTGTAGCCAATGAAATACACTCTGAAAAAACTGTAGGGAATTATTGCCCACCACCCTCCAGAATACAATATAACACAGTACAAGACAGAACAGCCTTTTTGTTTGTTTGTTTTTAGTTTCAGAGGTAGAATTTAGTGATCCATCAGTTGGATATAACACCCAGTGCCCATTACGTCAAGTGCCCTCCTTCATGCCCATCACCCAGTTACCCCATCTCCCCCATCCACATCCCCTCCAGCAACCCTCAGTTTGTTTCCTAGAGTTAAGAGTCTCTTATGGTTTGTCTCCCTCTCTGTTTTCCTCTTATTTTATTTTTCCCTGCCTTCCCCTGTATTCATCTTTTTGTTTCTTAAATTCCACATATGAGTGAAATCATATATTTAAGACAGAACAACCTTTAATCTGATCTAAAGTCCAGTTTAGAGTATACACACACAGTGAATAGAGGAAGCAATCTGTAGTAACCACTAGGATGTAGGACATTCTATAGGACAGTTGACCCAGTTCTATTCAAAAAGATAGTTGAGGGAAAAAGAGAAAAACTGAAATTACTGGTCTGGATAATAAGTTTAAAAAAAGAAGTAAGAGATAACTGGTTATAATGAGAAGATCTTAAGTGGATACTCAGTGGAACAACCCCCCCCCCCCCCGCCTTCACCCATTAGATACTTGTTAGGATACTGGGCATATTTGAATATCAACTGAATATTATGTGATATTAAGTAACTATTCTTAGTCTTATAAGGTGTGGTAATGGCATGTGGTTGTGTAAATAAATGTCCTTTTTTGATTTTGACACTGAAGAACTAAAGGGTGAGAACTGATTAGGATTTGTTTTAAAATACTTCAGCAACGCATCGCTTCTCGGCCTTTTGGCTAAGATCAGGTGTAGTATCTGTTCTTATCAGTTTACTATCTGATACGTCCTCTATCCAAGGACAATATATTAAAATAGTTGAGCAACAAAAAGGGGGCTGTATGGATGAAACAAGTGTGGTAAAAAAAAATTAATGGTTGTTGAAATCAAGTGATTCGGGATTCATTGTAGTCCCACTTGTGTGTGTGTGTGTGTGTGTGTGTGTGTGTGTGTGTGTGTGTGTGTGGTAATTTTCATAATAAAAATTTAAAGAATTGAATTAGACTATTCTCAACAAGTTTGGCCAATGGAGAGAGATGTTAAAACACAGCAGCCTGAGGCAAAGCTTATGTTTGGGGAGGTCTGGAGATGGGGGCACTAGGAGAGGTTTTACATGTGCTCTCATCAAGAGGGAGGGAGCCGATGCACAAGGTCTACGGGGGGCGGGGGGTTGGATGTAAGGTACACATGGAAGGAGGTTTAGGCAGGACCAAGCTAAGATAACGTAGAAAAAAATAATTAGCTTAAGAAAGGAGGGTGAAATGAAAGCATTCCCTCCCTAAAGGATTTTCTTTTCTCTGTGAAAGGAAAATAGTATGTTGAGAATGAGGAATTTATTGGCAGTGAACTTGAACTTGAGACTGGTAGGGAACCTTGAAGTAGATGATGTGTATGGAGGGAGATAGAACTGGGCAAGATTAATTTAAAACACCTTTGTATGTCTAGTTTTACCCAAAAAAGATTCCCCAGGAAAAAAATTGCCTCATACTTGAATCCTTAAAATGTTCTCATATTCCAGGATACCCTCTCTTGGTTGCTTTTTTCTGCATAATAAACTGTTTGCAGAAGACACATTAATGTGAAATGACTTAAATCTATGCTAGTTTGGTGTCCTTATAAGGTAGTCTTCACGGAATCATTTACAAAGAAGGCAGAGATTTACAAACAATTCTTGGGGATATGTTTTGAAATCTTTTTAGGATGACTTTAAAAAAGAATTACAGTATATGGTTACTTGTGGAGATCACAAATAAAAAACTACTTGACGTATAAAAACACTTATGTTTTGCTATAAAATGTACAAAGACAGTGTCACTAACTAGAAATTTAGTTAGACTTAACCATCATGTGTACCAGAGAACTATGTCAGATGATTCAAAAAGAGAGTCATATTATCTGTCTCTAAAGGAAAACCATTTAAAATGCTCTATCTGGTGTGTCCCATCCTTTACCTTGATGGTACAAGATGTGTATTACGGTTTTTGTGAACAGTATTTCGTGCATTTTAATGATTTCCTAGTTGGTCTATAAATATTAACTTTTAAAAATAAAGATTCTAAAAAGCATACATAGTCATCCAGTGAGTTGTGGACAAGAGTCACACTCAATCCTCGCTTGCTGTGAGGAGTCTCTAGTTTCAGCAGGCATGATGCTATTCAATGGGACTCTTTTTTTTTTTTTAAAGATTTTATTTATTTGACAGAGAGAGACACAGCAAGAGAGGGAACACAAGCAGGGGGAGTGGGAGAGGGAGAAGCAGGCTTCCCGCTGAGCAGGGAGCCCGATGCAGGGCTCGATCATGACCTGAGCCGAAGGCAGACGCTTAACGACTGAACCACCCAGGCGCCCCCAGTAGGACTCTTATTAAACTCAAAACTGTGCACTTTAAAAAAATCATCTAATGTTCTATGCTAACTCGTTAGTTCCATTATTTTGAATCTTTTAGTGTACATATCTGATTGTAAATGTGCAAAAATTTAAAGTGCCTATAATTTTTATGAAAGGAAATTAATTTTATATTGTATATTTTAACTTTTTGTTAGGTTGCTTACTAATTTATAAAAGAAATGTTTTGGCTAAAAAGTATTAGTTTCATAAGGTGGACATCATGTATCTACATGTGAAACAATTCAAATAAAAACATGTGGACATGCATGAGGACATTCTTTTTAAGTATTTGTTATTTTGGTAAATTAAATATTGAGTTGCAAGCTTCCATTTACTTCTCTTTACAGATTCAAAAGGCAACTAAGGTCTGGATCCTTAGAAATCATTTCAATACCTGCCTTTTTTTATCCAAACATATCACATGTCAAGGAGTCAACTGACGACTCAGGAAAGTCAGAGAGGTATTACGGATTACCTGAAATAACTTCATCAGACGTAATGTTGGAACCAGTATCTAAGAGATCCCATTTCAAACACAGCCAGCTCCTATTAGCTTGCAAGAGCTGACAAAGTGCAGCACTTCTCAGTCTGCATCCAGCGACGTCAAGTTGGTAGCATGAAATCAGCCATGGTAGGAGCATTTACACCATGGAAATGGGCAAAAGCACAAATCATGGCTCACCCTTACCCCACTCCCCGAAGAGTCAGTTGTTGAACATTTACCACCAGCACACCACTGATTATCTGTGTTTGCTTATTCAGCCAATAATTAGCAAGGGCATAATGAAGGGGTAAAGAAAGCCTGGGGTTATAAATTATTACGTGTACATTCTAGTTCCAGTTTTACTGTTTGTTGTAGGTCATCCTAGACAGGTAATTTAGCCTTTGTCTTGGCTTCCTCTGCTTTCCCGTGTGCATAATAAAATCTACATTATACATTTGGAAGAATCATTGTAAGAATAAAATATGATAGTAGTTATGAAAGAATTTTGAAAAAAAGTCTATACATGTATAAAGGATCACTATTGTTTGATTTTAAATGTTGTAGGTATTATAAGAAATGTAATAATTTGGCTCCTCAAAACTTAATAGAGTAAAAGAAATGTCAGAATTCAGAAAAAAGTCAGATCCCAGGAAACTATTAGCTCTGTTTTATGATAATAAATGGGTATGTCAGAATCTGGAAATCTCTTAGGGGTTTTCTTTTGCTTTGAATTTAGTCAGTTCTTAGAGTCATAAACCTGGGAGACATTGTAGATCCTGTTTTTCCTTCTGCTGTTTATATCCCCATCATCATTTCTTCTTTTTAAAAAAAACTCCCTCTGCATCATCCCTCTCATCCCCATTCCTCTGCCTTGGACTTAGTTCAGGTCATTCATGATCTATTTGTTTTCCCTAAGCGTAGCCTAGCCTGGCCTCTCTTCCAATTCATTCTCCATAGTGTAGCCAGAAGAATCCATTTTCATGGGAGATCAAGTCCAAAGTCTCGTTCATGATCTGGTCTCTGCCCACCTCACCATCATCAGCTTTTCCATCCCCTCTTGGTGCTGTGGATCTAAGGTGGCATGTGCTCTCGTGCGTTTCATGCCTTTGCAGTACTCGTCCTCCCACTGAATGCCCGGCCTCCTGATCTTATTGTATGTCATCATTGCCAATGTCTCTGTGTAGCACTTATCTAATTGTTGTGATTTTATTAATTTTCTGTCTTTTCATACTGGATTATGAAACACAGAACTGCATTGTGTATTGCTCTTTGTACGTTCAGGAACTGGCCTAATACCTAGCTTAGTATTAAATTAGAATAAAGTTTCTTCTTACTTTTATTTGAACAAGACCTAAGACCAGAAAGAATATTAATTTTACTACACAGATAAAAATTTAACCAAAACATAAAATAGATTATGTTTATCCTAGTTTAGTGATGGCCGATATGGTCCACTGAATAAAGATGGGAAACATTTTAATATAGTATAAAATATTCAATTACACTTACTGTAGATAGTACTCTATGTTAGCAAAGCGTAAAAAATTGTTTTTAGTTACTGAAGTGTGCTTATAAATAAAAATTATGTAATAATGACAAATATTAACAGATTTTATTACTATCTTTAGTAAGTGCATCAAACAAGTACTGGATTTTTGTTTTTTGATGCTGTATGCCCAACCCAAGGCCATGTATTATTTACAGGTAAGACCATGGTATATATATATATAATTTAAAGTGGAAGAATTATGTTCTCCTCGAACCATGAGAGATGATGGACTCTGAAAAACTGAGGGTTCTAGAGGGTAGGGGGGTGGGGGGATGGGTTAGCCTGGTGATGGGTATTGAGGAGGGCACGTTTTGCATGGTGCACTGGGTGTTATGAACAAACAATGAATCATGGAACACTGCATCAAAAACTAATGATGTAATATATGGTGATTAACATAACAATAAAAAAAATTAAAAAAAAAAAAGAATTATGTTCTCCTTCCCTCTTTTGATTCCTTCCTCATTGTATTCCTCCACCTTACTTTGTATTCAGAAAATACTCATTAAAGTTCCAAAAGGAAGTTTAAAGTTGATTTTATGTAAGTCTTCTTGCTGGATTTACTATTAACAGAGGAAATTATAGTTACCTGAAGCAAACTGAAAAGAAATTCTCAAATTAGAAAAAAAATAGAAATTATGCTCCCTACATTTCTCTTCTCACAAATTTATTACATTAACATTAAGCAGACATATTTTGAGCACTTACTATATGTCAGACAGTGTGTATGCTCACCATTGGTACCTTACATTGGCTCACCTTGTATGTTCTACCCAGTTCTACAATGCCTTACTGTATTTCTGAAATAAATCAATTATATATAGCTTGAATTCCCTGAATTCTGGTGTATTGTTAAATAATAGTGTTATGTTTCCCAGCAGTGAGTATAGGCCTTACTACATGTGACAATATACAGTTGTAAGAAGAGTTTGCAAGATATCACTGGAGAAGAGAGAATGTTAGAAAAAGGCCTGAAGTAGGGTCTTCTCTTTTACTGGAAGAAAAAAAAAATCTCTTTTGATTCCTAGTTAGTGGAATGTAACAGAAACTTGAGATCCAGCCAATGTTTTCTTAAACAATTTGAAACCACGTAGTTCTCTTTTGTGTTCTGGTAATGTGCTTGAGGACGTCCACATTTTTCTGAATCATTTAGGAGGTCCTCTTAGCAGATAGATTACACGTAATATATATGAGATTAAATAAAAGGAAAATTATAGTTTTCCTTTCCCCCTCTCTTAGGGAGAACTATTCTTAGGTTTACGTGCACCGCTATTCTACCCAGCTAGTGGTGGATGAGAGTGCCAGTTCCCTTTTGTCATCTCTTGGGCAGCCACCCTCTCTGGCAGTAGGACATGGTGGCACCTGTCATCTCAAACATAAAGCTAGTTGGCCTTAAATTAGAAATGGAAGTCTTGGTAAGGATGAAAATGGATTCAGATAAGCAAAATTTTTTCAATGAGGATTTATTTATTTTTTTAAAGATTTTATTTATTTATTTGACAGAGAGAGACACAGCGACAGAGGGAACACAAGCAGGGGGAGTAGGAAAGAGAGAAACAGGCTTCCTGCGGAGCAGGGAGCCCGATGCGGGGCTCGATCCCAGGACCCTGGGATCATGACCTGAGCCGGAGGCAGATGCTTAATGACTGAGCCACCCAGGTGCCCCTATTTATTTATTAAAAAAATTTTTTAAAAAGATTTTGTTCATTTGAGAGAGAGAGAATGAGCAGGGGTGGAAAGGTAGAGGGGGAGAGAGAGAGAGAGAGAGAGAGAGAGAAGAGCCGGCTCCCCACAGAGCAGGGAGCCCGATGTGGGACTCGATCCCAGGACTCTGGGATTATGACCTGACCGAAAGGCAGATGCTTAATCGACTGAGCCACCCAGGTGTCCTTCACTGAGGATTTAGTTTGAGTGTTCCATATTATTATTTAGGGAAAGAAACAGATGATCTCTGGTCTCAGAATCTGAAAGTGAAAACTAACAGTAAATACCCTCAGCGAATTGAACTAAAAATAAAATTAGCCTCATAAAAACATTTTCTTCAGTGTATGCTATTGAAAGTATTTTCACTTCTCAAGCTGATGCAGCTTATTCAGTGGAAGTATCAAAGGTACTCACGACTTTTTGTTTTTTTCCAGCTAGAAGATGATATCATAGCTAAAAAGATGTACTTTACAAAAATCACAGATTTTGTGCATAATATCACTTCAAAAAATTGGTTTTATATTGAGTTTTCAATTCTTGGATTCATAGGTAAGCAATGTATCTATTTTTTAGCACACAATAATCTTAAAAGTTCTTAAGAACTTATCAGTTTGTTAATAAATGGAAAGGAAGGGCATGATTTCTATAAAGATACTTTTAATTTAATAATAAGATCAAATTCAAGTATCTGAATTTCAGAAAATGTATTTTAAACCAATTTTTTCCTAGATGGACAATATAAATTAGCAGGTTGATTTGTACATAATATTTTATCAAAAGGTAAGAAAGATACCACTTGCCAAGTGTTTGCTGAGAGTCTGCAGGCTCAGTGACTAAGGTGTACTTCTCTATTTTACATAGAAAAATACTTTCAGTTTATATAGAAACTATATAGAAAAGAATTACAGTTCTAGAGAAAGGAATTCTAACGTAGGACTCCCGTACTCTAAATTCCCTGTAATTTCCAGTATGCCAAAGCTGACATACTTAGAAAAGGTAAAAATACATGAATCGGCCCCACCACAGAAGAGTTCCTAAAATTGTGTCCATGAGGGGATTTTTAAAAAATTTCTTCTATAAACTTCTTTTTCTTCCTTCCACTCTTTCCACCCTTCCTTCTCTACTTTTCCTTTTAGTTGAACTTTGAGGTAGCAAGTTGAATGACCTTACTCATTTCATGGTGCACGGCATCGTTTCTTCATGCAGGAGCCCTCTCTTATTTTTTTCGTTTTATGCCCAGTCCCTACTCCCACTTCTTCCCACATCCCAGTAGGTTTGCACTCTACTGTGTTCAAAGTATACATATAAATATGCATGTATCCATGTCAAATACTCGGTGTTTATCATGTTTGTACCTGTTTAAAGTTTACATAAACGAGTGATGTGATGAGCCTATTCATGCCCCTTACATTTTTGTCCTCAAAACTAGATTTTAAAACTGCCAACATGTCGATATATGTCCATTTAGTTTATTGTTCCTCACGGCTGTTGCATAAGCCCTACATAATAATCCATTTGATTTATCCATCCTCAGAGTAGTTGACCTTGATTGCTTCCAACTCCCTGCTGCCGCAAAGAAATGAAGTGATGTATTTGTCCCCGAGAGCAAGATCACTGAGGGTGAAAGTAGCAGTGTCTCTGTGTAGCCAGATTGCTTTGCAGATTGGCTGTACAGTTTATCCTCCCTTAAGCAGTACGTATGGGTTCCTGCTTCCCCATGTGCTTGACAACATTTGATTCTATCCATTACATTTTTTTTTTTTTTTTGCCACTGGGAGGAGTGTAAAGCATTTCTCTGACTGCTCATGAAATCTGTTATTCATATACTTACTTGATCACCTTCTTTCCCATACATTTTTTTGTCAAGTGTTGTAGAATCCAGTTTTAAGACCCCAAAGATTTTTGCTCAGCTTTGATTTAAATAAGAAGAAAAATTATAGCTAACAGTAATACCCGATAAACTTGAAGAGGAAGTGTTTTGTTGATACATTACCTTGTGAACTATAAATTCCTTTTTATTTTTCTCGCCAAAGTCAGGTATGAGAAGGATAGAGAATATTCACATTCTGATCACAAGAGCACAATGAACAGGAGCACATATATGTAATGCTGAAGTCTTATTTAAGCTTAAGTTTACAAGGGCTTTGTTCTCTGTTGTTATAATAACAATTTTCTTACTCAATATTACCAAAAATATGAATTTGCTAAACAGAATTTTATAGCATACTGAGAGCAGATAAGGAAAACACAAATACTGAATCACCTGTTTCCATCATTAAATCACTTGTTTTGGTCGCTATATAAATGGGTGCCAAAAAATTAAAATACAACTATACATTTGATTAAGTAACCCATACAGACTCAGCTCCTAGTGAAAAAAAGGAAGCATGCTTACTTTCTACCAGCATGTTTATTAAATGGTTAGATGTATTTTATACTCTTTACTTTAAAGTGAAAATTTACCTGAATTTTATACCTTCAACTTCATTTTAAAATTAATTTTAAAATTAAAAATGCAGTGTATTAGAAAAAAAGCAATTGGACCTAATGAAATATCCTACTTTAAAATAGGGCAAATCTTTTAGAATCACAAATACAAGAGAAATAAAATTCATATAAAAATGATGCTCAAATACTGAAATAATACTGTATTCTAATAAAAATTAAGTACTAAGCATAAAAAATCTGGTAGATAAAGTTCTACAAAAGTCAGGTTATAAATCAGTTTCTGCAAAAATAAGTAAAAGATTATAGCTCCTATAATTTTCATTTTTTAAATATCTTTTTAATTATTATGTATAAATCTTTCACATGACTTAGAAAATTGATCTCACTGGTTATCAAAATTGATTACCTGAGAGTATTCACTATTCTAAACCTGCTTCACACTTTCCTGCCCAGAAATGGTAATCCTTAATACTTAAGCAGATGTATTATTTTGCTTTATTATCCTTCAACTTCACGAATACTTTAGGCTTTATTTATTTTGAAGGAATAATTTAATTTTTAATGATTTTTTTGGTCCTTTCTTATGTTAATAGAATGAATGACTATATATAAGCATTATTTTATGATATATTGTTATTTGGATTTGTAAACACTCAAGAGTTGTTTGGATTTGTTTACTTTTTCTCCATAGGAAAGCTGTTTAAATCTCAGGACTTACCTGACTTTGTACGTTTTTTTTTAATGTTCTATAAAGATAAACCCATAGACTTGCTCTTGAGGGACATTTTTCAGGTAAAGATGTGTAACCCAGGAGAAAATCCCGTAAGTATTTCTTTACTTTTAAATGCAAAATATTTTAGGAAAATACTATCTGTCTAATGTAATTCCCTAAAATTTGTTCACCAAACTAAACCTGATGAGTGCATTAATTTTTTAACTTCTGGTATCCAGAATTTTTACTGACACTTATACGTACTAAATGAAGTAATGAGAGGCCACAAATTTAGTGAAAAGTAGAAAAAAAGAGACAAAAAAACCCCAAACAAATAATAAAATGTTGGTTGTAAATCCAAATATGTCAATATTTACATCAAATATAAATAACCAAAATATACCAATTAAGAGAGAGTTCATCAGAATGGATTAAAAAACACTATGCAATTACTTGCTGTCTCTACTTAGTTCAAATATAATGATATACATAAATAAAAGTAAAAGGTAGAGGGCGCCTGGGTGGCTCAGTCGGTTAAGCATCTGCCTTCGGCTCAGATCATGATCCCAGGGTCCTGGGATCGAGTCCTGCATTGGGCTTCCTGCTTGCGCTCTCGCTCATTCTCTCTCTCAAATAAAATATATTTTTAAAAAGTAAAAGGTAGGGGGCGGAGCAAGATGGTGGAGGAGTAGGAGACCTAGATTTCGTCTGGTCTCAGGAATTCAGCTGAATAGGGATCAAACCATTCTGAACACCTACGAACTCAACAGGAGATCAAAGAGGAGAGTAGCAACATCCATCTGAACAGAGAAGCAGCCACTTACTGGAAGGCAGGACGTGCGGAGAAGTGAATCCGAGGCGATATTCGGGAGGATAGACGGCGGGGGAGGGGCCTCCGCCGGCCGCTTCTGGCAAGTGATAGAGCTGCGGAGCACAAAATCGGAACTTTTAGAAGTTGGCTCCGCTGAGGGACGTTGCTCCAGTGGCTAAGCGGGGGTGGAACCCTCGCGGGACAGTGGGGTCTCAGGACCCTTGGGGTCACAGAAAGACCGGGGGAGCCTGAGTGCGCCAGAGCTCCCAGGTATCGGAGCGGGGAAGCCGGCTGCGGAGACGGAGCCGAGGCGCGGGCTCTCAGCTCGGGGTTGCCATAAACTGTGATCCGCGGCCCAGTCGGGCCACTGCTCCTGCAGCAGGGACCCAACAGGCGGCAGATCCGGGGAGACTCCGCTTCCTTCCCGGGGAGGAGCGGCGCGGGAACGCACCGCAGGGATCTGCTGGGTTTGGAGACTCCACACGGGGTCGGGTGCCAGAGATACAAACGCTCGGTCACAGGCCGGGTGAGCACGGAGTGCGGCCAGAGACCAGGGAGGCGGGAGTGATTGACTGCTTTTCTCTGGGGGCGCACTGAGGAGCGGGGCCCCGAGTTCTCAGCTCCTCCGGGTGGAGATTGGGAGGCCACCATTTTTGCCCTGGTCCTCCAGGGCTGTGCGGAGAGCTTGCAGGGAACAAAAGCTCCTGAGATCAAACCCGAGCAGCTTGCTTAGCCCGGACCGACAAGGGCGGGGCAATTCAGCCTCTGGCAAAGACATTTGGAAACCACAGCAACAGGCCCCTCCCCCAGAAGATCAGCACGAACAGCCAGCAAGCCAAGACCAAGTTTACCGATCAAGGAGGAACGGGAGAACTCCAGCGCTAGGGGAATACTGCACATAGAATTCATGGCTTTTTTTACCATGATTCATTAGTTCATCAAAGTTAATTTTTGTTAACTGTTTTTTTTCCTCTTTTTCTTTTTCCCTTTTCCAACCAATATCTTATCAATCTCTTTTAAAAAAAAAAAACATTTTTTATTTTTCATTTTTAGAGTCATATTTTATCCCTTCATAGTAGTTACCCTTATTTTTGGCATATATATATAAGTTGTTCTCTCTTTAAAATTTTGAGATACAGTTTCTTCTAACAGATAAAAATATACCCTAAATCACTAGTGTATGGTTCTGTTCTAGTCTCCTGCCTGATCACATTCTCTCCCTTTTTTTTTTTAAATCTTCTTTCTTTTTTCAAACAACTTCTTATCTTATCAAGTCCTTTTATAAAATCTTTTATAATTTTCATCTTTACAGTCATCTTCTATCCCTTCATTGTATCAACCCTTATTTTGTACATATATGTCTTTCTTCCTTTAAAATTTTAGGAGGCACTTTTTTCTAACAGACCAAAATATGCCCAAAATCTAATGTGTGGCACTGATCTATGCACTAGCCTGATGATATTTGATCATATTCTGCTTTTTTTGTATTGTTCTGTTTTTGTTTTTATCTTTTTTTTTCTTTTTTTTTTCTCTTTCTTTTTTCTTTCTTTCCCTTTCTTTTCCCCTGGTTTCAGGTCTTTTCTGATTTGTATACAGTATATTTGCTGGGGACGTTGTAAACCTGTTAGCATTCTGTTCTCTCATTCATCTATTCTCCTCTGGACAAAATGACAAGACGAAAAAAATCACCTCAGCAAAAAGAACAAGAGGTAGTACCGTCAGCCAGGGACCTACTCAATACGGACATTAGTACGATGTCGGACCTAGAGTTCAGAATCATGACTTTAAAGATACTAGCTGGACTTGAAAAAAGCGTGGAAGTTATTAGAGAAACCCTTTCTGGAGAAATAAAAGAACTAAAATCTAACCAAGTCGAAATCAAAAAGGCTATTGATGAGGTGCAATCAAAAATGGGGGCACTAACTGCTAGGATAAATGAGGCAGAAGAGAGAATCAGTGATATAGAAGACTAAATGATGATAAGTAAAGAGGCTGAGAAAAAGAGGGAGAAACAACTACAGGATCACGAGGGCAGAATTCGAGAGATAAGTGATTCGATAAGACGAAACAACATTAGAATAATTGGGATCCCAGAAGAAGAAGAAAGAGAGAGAAAGGCAGAAGGTATATTGGAGCAAATAATAGCAGAGAACTTCCCTAATGTGAGGAAGGAAACAGGCATCAAAATCCAGAAGGCACAGAGAACCCCTCTCAAAATCAATAAAAATAGGTCAACACCCCGACATCTAATAGTAAAACTTACGAGTCTCAGAGACAAAGAGAAAATCCTGAAAGCAGCTCGGGAGAAGAGATATGTAACCTACAATGGTAAAAATATTAGATTGGCAACAGACCAATCCACAGAGACCTGGCAGGCCAGAAAGGACTGGCAAGATATCTTCAGAGCACTAAACGAGAAAAATATGCAGCCAAGAATACTATATCCAGCTAGGTTGTCATTGAAAATAGAAGGAGAGATAAAAAGCTTCCAGAACAAACAAAAACTAAAGGAATTTGCAAACACGAAACCAGCCCTCCAAGAAATATTGAAAGGGGTCCTCTAAGCAAAGAGAGAGCCTAAAAGCAGCAAAGATCAGAAAGGAACACAGACAACATACAGTAACAGTCACCTTACAGGCAATACAATGGCACTAAATTCATACCTTTCAATAGTTACCCTGAATGTAAATGGGCTCAATGCCCCAATCAAAAGACACAGGCTATCAGATTGGATTAAAAAACAAGACCCATCCATATGCTGTCTGCAAGAGTCTCATTTTAGACCCAAAGGTACCCCCAGATTGAAAGTGAGCGGGTGGAAAACCATTTACCATGCTAATGGACACCAAAAGAAAGCTGGGGTGGCAATCCTTATATCAGACAAACTAGATTTTAAAACAAAGACTGTAATAAGAGATGAGGAAGGACACTATATCCTACTTAAAGGGTCTATCCAACAAGAAGATCTAACAATTGTAAATATCTATGCCCCGAACATGGGAGCAGCCAATTATATAAGGCAATTAATAACAAAAGCAAAGAAACATATTGATAATAGTGGGGGACTTTAACACTCCCCTGACTGAAATGGACAGATCATCTAAGCAAAAGATCAACAAGGAAGTAAAGACTTTAAATGACACACTGGACCAAATGGACTTCACAGACATATTCAGAACATTCCATCCCAAAGCAACGGAATACACATTCTTCTCTAGTGCCCATGGAACATTCTCCAGAATTGATCACATCCTAGGTCACAAATCAGGTCTCAACCGGTACCAAAAGATTGGGATCATTCCCTGCATATTTTCAGACCACAATGCTTTGAAACTAGAACTCAATCACAAGAGGAAAGTCGGAAAGAACTCAAATACATGGAGGCTAAAGAGCGTCCTACTAAAGAATGAATGGGTCAACCAGGAAATTAAAGAAGAATTAAAAAAATTCATGGAAACCAATGAAAATGAAAACACAACTGTCCAAAATCTTTGGGATACAACAAAGGCACTCCTGAGAGGAAAGTATATAGCAATACAAGCCTTTCTCAAGAAACAAGAAAGGTCTTAAATAAACAATCTAACCCTACACCTAAAGGAGCTGGAGAAAGAAGAGCGAGTAAAGCCTAAGCCCAGCAGGAGAAGAGAAATAATAAAGATCAGAGCAGAAATCAATGAAATAGAAACCAAAAGAACAGTAGAACAGATCAACGAAACTAGGAGCTGGTTCTTTGAAAGAATTAACAAGATTGATAAACCGCTGGCCAGACTTACCAAAAAGAAAAGAGAAATGACCCAAATCAACAAAATCATGAATGGAAGAGGAGAGATCACAACTAACACCAAAGAAATACAAACAATTATAAGAACATATTATGAGTAACTCTATGCCAGCAAATTAGATAACCTGGAAGAAATGGGTGCATTCCTAGAGATGTATCAACTACCAAAACTGAACCAGGAAGAAATAGAAAACCTGAACAGACCTATAACCACTAAGGAAATTGAAGCAGTCATCAAAAATCTCCCAACAAACAAAAGCCCAGGGCCAGATGGCTTCCCAGGGGAATTCTATCAGACATTTAAAGAAGAATTAATACCTTTTCTGAAACTGTTCCAAAAAATAGAAATGGAAGGAAAACTTCCAAATTCATTTTATGAGGCCACCATTACCTTGATCCCAAAACCAGACAAAGACCCCATCAAAAAGGAGAATTACAGACCAATATCCTTGATGAACATGGATGCAAAAATTCTCACCAAATGTGCTACGGTGAGCGCTGTGAATTGTGCAAGACTG